CCCCAGCTCCCTCAGCCTCTCCTCACAGCACTTGTGCTCCAGTCCCTTCCCCAGCCTTGTTGCTTTTCTCTGGACCTGCTCCAGGACCTCAATGTCCTTCCTGAGCTGAGGGGCCCAGAACTGGACACAGCACTCCAGGGGTGGCCTCACCAGCGCTGAGTCCAGGGGCAGAATCACTTCCTTGGACCTGTTGGCCACACTGTTCCTGCTCCAGGCCAGGATCCATTGGCCTTCTTGTGCTCTTGGGGTCAAACCTCCCCCCCTGAGGTGCTGGAGTGTGTTCTCCAGGAGCTGGTGATCAGCTTGATCTGGCACAAAGCGAATATTTTGGGCGGTTCAGAACCAGGGAGCAACTTTAAGGCAGAGGTTGAGTCTCATGGTGTGGGTGAGGACAGTCTCCAGCTCTCCCCTCACTGCTGGGAGCTGCATTTCAGAGAGACACAGTCCAGGGCCCTTGTAGGAATAATTACATTTTGCTTTATTTCTTCAACAGCATTGAGCTTCTCTCGATTTAGCACTGGGAAATCCACTTAGTCCCTGGGCAGGGATCCTTGCAGCTCTGGGGCTCTCAGTTGGGAAGGTGGTGTCCCTGCCTGCTCTCCTTAGTGTGGCACCTCCAAAATGACCCAGATGGGAAATCTTCAGGAACTTTCCACGCTCTCCTTTCTGCAGACCACTGTGCCAGGAGGCCTCTGCAGGCTGAGGGAGTGCAGATCTCCATTCCAGGCATCAAAACTCCAGTGTCCAAATTCTCTTTTCCCCCCCCACAGTGTGGCTGTTCCAGCCTGTCCTCCACGGGGCCACAGTGGCCCGAGTTCTGTGTGATTGACTTCAGAAGGTTTGCAGGTGAACCTTTGAGAAGTTCAGCTCTGCTTATTGAAGATTTTCCCCCCGCCTTTCCCAGGAGCACTGACCTTTCTCCCAGCCTCTTACAGCCCTTGGTCTGCAGGGAGGGAGAGAGAGAGAGGTGATATTTTCCCTCTTTTAAGTCCTTGAACCCCAGAGAACACAGAGCATAAAGAACCAAATCCTCAGCTGCTCTTTCCCAGTCCAGCAACGTGTCAGTGGGAGCCTGTCCTGTGCCCAGGGGGTGCTGGGAGCAGGATTGTGCCCTCACCTACCTCTGCCAGCTGCAGCCATCCCTGTTATTGTGTTTTTAAGGAGTTTGCTGGCTCTGCAGCACTTTAAGAGCAGAGAGGTGAGGGCGAGGGGCATTTTGGCCCATTTGCTGCTGCTCTCTGTGCTACATCTGCTGGGCTGTTCCTGCTGGTAAAAACTTGCCTTTTCTTGCTCTTTTCCCTTAAATGGTCCATTTTTTGCATAGCAGCAGGCAGGGAGGACGTGCTGCCTTAGGCAAAGCACCTCACCTTCCCCTGGCAGGTCAGTGCTGAAAGGTCTTTTAATTAAAAGAGAAGCTGTAATTCCGAAATAAAGGCACAGAGGTTCTTCCAGGGAGGTTTTTGCAGTGATCAGCAGCCTTCCTGCAGCTCTGCAGGGCAGGAGGGAACTTGGCCCCTAAGGCTTCCTGGGTGTTTGTTTGAGAAAATGAGGGTGGGGAGTTCTGTAAATACACGTGGGGAGAGCAGGGCCAGGCAGGGAACACGTGGAGTTTGGATCTCAGCTGGCTCAGGGAGATCTGGGGAGCTGCTCCTGCATGGAAAGCAGAGGGTGTTGCTCTGTGTGAGACCCTGAGCCTGGATCCATGAGTTCTGTGGGGAGGGAGAATCATGGAATTGTTAAGGGTGGAGAAAACCTTTGACGGTCACCAAGTCCAACCACCAACCCAGCACCACGTTCACCACTAAACCACGTCCTCAAGAGCCACATGCCATGATTTTTGAACTCTTCCAAGGGTGGTGAGTCCACCAGTGCCCTGGGCAGCCTGTTCCCATGCCAGGATTGGGTCAGTGCAGCTCCTTGGGGCAGAGCTGGCTCGGGCAGGGGACACTGAGCTGTGCCAGTGCCTGCAGTGGGTGCAGGAGGCCAGGAGCACCTGCAGATGCTCTCAGCATTCCCATTTCCACGCCAGGGCGGTGCAGAGGCTGCTGCTTGTACCTGAGCCACCCAGAGCTGTGTCCCTGCAGCAGGAGGTCACCCTCCTGTGCCCCCAGGGCCCTGCCCAGGCTGTCTCCAGTTGCCTCTCTTTATCCTGCAGGTCCATTTGGAGCTGGAGGGCTCCTGGTGCAGTGGAACTGTCCTGGTGATTAATGGCTTGGACGCTGCTGCCACACAAATCCTCATTTCCCCCCTGCTCTGCTCCGTGCAGAGCCAGCTGCTGGCCCAGCCCCTGCTGCAGGAACAAGGGCATGGATTTGCCCACTGGTGGGATCCCAGCAGGAGCTCTGTTTTCCGTGCACAGGCAGCTGGTGGAGCCCAGGGACTCTTAGCAGGGCATGAGGGAGAGTTTGTTTGCACACCTGGCTGTCACATCTGGACAAAACGCCCTGGCAGGCTCCTCTCAGCTCTGGAGCACTTCATAAATTCACTGTAATGGGATGAAGTTAAAAAGGTTTGACAGGTAGAGATTGTCTGAGGCGAGCCAGGCCAAGATCTGGGTCCTCCTGCATCCAGAATTGACGTCTTGTTATGATAAAAAATGAAAGAAAAATGGGAAATGGGGGATCTTTATGAGTTGTGTTTGGGGGGGTTATTTCTTCATCAGGTTTGTGTTTCTCTCTGATTCCCTGCAGTGCCTTGTGGGGGGAATGTCACCACCCAGAATGGGACAGTTTACTCCCCTGGCTTCCCCAACCAGTACCCCAATTCCCAGGACTGCACTTGGCTGCTCACGGTGCCCGTGGGATATGGGATCCACCTCAACTTCACCCTGCTGCAGACAGAGCCCTACAACGACTTCATCACTGTGTGGTGGGTACAGCCCAGCTTTGGGGGGCTCCTGGAGCCACTCCAGGGGCTCCACCTGGGAAAGGTGCCCTTGGCTTTTCCATGGGAACTGGGATCTCTGCTGGAGATGGGCTCAGCTCTGCTGCAGTGACACTGGTTTCTTCACCCCGGGGGCTTTCCAGGCTGGGAGCTTCCTTTTCTACTTGTAGGAGGGAAGGGAAATCATTATTTTTGCATTATTTCTTTTAATAGAAATAGATAGAAATATTATTTATGCACAGTGGTGAGCATTATCAGCTCCAGGCAGCCGAGGGAGCACATGTAGCTGCTCTGCTTGAAGAGCTTGGGGGCCGAATTCTTGGGCTTGTAGCACTCAATAAATGATCTTCAGAATATCCCAGTGCCTGCTCTGCAAACAGGGAGGGACATTCCTTTTGGAAAATAATAATAAATGAATGATCTTCAGAATATCCCAGTGCCTGCTCTGCAAACAGGGAGCGACATTCCTTTGGAAAACCAGTCCTGACTCTTCAGGTTCTGAGGCTAAAAGTGAAGTTCATGGTTGCAGTTGTGCACTGGGTGAGCACTGTGAGCCAGAAGAGATGATCCTGGTTCTCCTGGAGCAGGGAGAGGGACTGGGGGGGTCCAGGTCACTGCCCAGGGAAATGAAAAGCAGATCTGGGAAAGGGAGGACGAGGAAGGGAGAGCAGGGAGGAGGAGGAGGGTTGTTTTCTGAGGTTAAAAACTATGTAATAATGCTCTTCTCTCATGTTTCTGCCATCAGGGATGGAGCCCAGCAAACAGCCCCCCAGCTGGGGGTGTTCACTGGCAACTCTGCCAAGAAATCAGCCCAGAGCTCCTCCAACCAGGTCCTGCTGAAGTTCCACAGCGACGCTGCCAACGGGGGCATTTTTGCCATTTATTTCTATGGTCTGTATGGCTCTGTCCTGGGGGGTGGGGGGCACATGGAGCAGCTGGGAGGCAGGAATAGAGCTGGGAAAGATGGGAACAAACCCTCTTGTTAACCTGGAGTCTTCCCAAAAGGGGCAGTTTTACAGGTCTCTTGTGCTGCCTGTAAATCCCATCCTCTCCATGGCACATCCCTGCTTTGTTTGCCTAAAACTCCCCTTCCCTGCAGTTTGTGGATGCAGAATTCCCTTTTTTTAGTGCTCTGCCAAACCAACTGGATCATCCTGGGGGCCTGTTTTAAATGATCCAGCAGAGGCACAACTTCATTCCTCTGGGGAGGAGGAGGATTCCTGTAAATCCCTGGATTACTCAGGGATTCTTTGGTGTGAGGGCAGCAAAATCTTGGGTATTACATTAAGTGAGAGCATTTGCTTGGTGGCTCTAAACAAGAGCCTGACTGGAAATCGGATTAGCTGACGAGTTCCTGCAGCAAGTGCTGGGATTTGGGGAAGTGCAAATGGGAGAACTTGCTCTTGCTTCAGGATGAATCCCATGCTGAGCCCCTGCAGAAGGGCTGGAGCTCAGCTCTGAGAGGGACAGGCTGAATTTCAGGGATTGCTGAGCTCCAGGAGGAGCTGATTCCCTGCTGCTGGAAGATTGACATTCCCAAACAACAGAACAACCCTGCAGGAAAGGATGGATTGGGCAGTTTGGCTCAGGAAGGGGGCAGAGGGTGGCCAGTGCTGCATTCCCACCCTTTGTGGTGGGAGTGAGAGCCCCTCACTGCTGTGGGCAGAGCCCCTCAGCCACGGGGCCATTCCCTAATAATAATAATAATAATAATAATAATAATAATAATAATTTGAGGGGGTTTTATATTGAGGTGTAAAGTCTGGGATTGGGGCTGGAAGGGATCAGGGGTGGTTTAACAGTCATTTATAACTCGTAGCCACTCTTGCAACTGTTATGAAAGTCTCATTTATAGAACCATGGGATGCTTTGGGTTGGGAGGGACCTTGAAGATCACCCAGTTCCTGCCATGGGCAGAAACCTCCCACTTGTCCTGGAGGCTCAGGGTCCCTCCAGTGCCACGTGCTTGTGTTTTCCTCCCCTTGCACACCCAGAACAGTTAAGCCCATCCCTCACATTGAAGGGAAGCCCTTGTGTTCCCTGCAAACACCCTGCTTTCCCACGTGCCTTTGGAAAAGCATTATCCTGCCCCACCTTATGGAGAAAGGAAATCAGGGCATTTTACCATCATCATCATCACCTTTTTAGGGTGCTGCCAGGCCTGCCAGCCCTCCTGTGCTGTGGAGAGCTCAACATCCATCCTGGGCTTGGCAGGAATTGATATTCAGGGGCAGCCCCAGCTCCAGTCTCCTAAAGGAAAAGGCTGATCTGAATTTCAGGGGGAAGTTCTGCTTGTCTGGGGTCAGGTGCAGGGGGAGCAGAGGATGCAGGGAAGTGCTGAGCAAATAGCAGAAAATGTCTGGCATTAATATTCATTTGGTTGCTGGGAACCAATATATCCAATGTACCCCTGCTCAGAGCTCTGGGGTGTTTGTTTTTGTGAGCAACCCCCTTCTCCTGAGCTTCCTTTTGCTCACTGTGAGCTGAGATTTAATTTTTGGTGGAAAATTCGCCCTAAAAAAAAAATCATTTCTGCCCTTCAAGTGGATTTCTTCCTGCTGAGCCACATGATACCCCCAAAAAACACCTAATGAGGCAAAGAGTAGAAATTTTACCCTGTTTTGCTTTCTATGAGCACTGACACTGACCTTGCACAGGTCACTCTGTGAACTCCAAGGAGGATCTGCAGTTGGAAGCACCAGCACTCCTGGAATTCCTTCTGGAAGAAATTAATAAAAGAAATCAGTGAATTCTGAGATCCCTGTTGAAGGACAGGCACGAAGGATGGAATTCCCTGAGGAATTATTGGAGCTGGAGCTGGGGGGGAGGTTCTCCCTCCTCTGTCACTGCCCAAGTTCCACTGAGGTCACCAAGATCTTCCCAAAAAGGTGCTGGTGGATGTTGCCTCATCCTTGTTCACCATTCAGTGCCCTCCAAAGGGACTGGCACTGTGCAGGCACCTCCATCTCCCCTGATCTGCACCAGAACCTCCCCTGGACTGACCCAAACCTGTTTCCCACCAGGAGTGAGAAACTTTGGGGGACACAAATTCCCGGCTCCATCTCTGCGGGGTTTGGAGGGCTTGGCTGCATTTTGCCAATTCCTCCTCCTCGTGGAGAAGGGGGAGGATCTTCCCTGAGTCCATCCTGTGGCTTTTCACCCCCAAGCTCAACATCTGCTGCTCTTTTTTTGCCCTCCCAGCTTACCAGCTGTCCCGGTGCCAACCTCCCACCATGGTCCCCAACGCCGAGATCATCACTGAGAACGAGGAGTTCAACATAGGTAACCTCTCCTCATCTCCTCATCCCCTCATCCCTCCTTCCCCCCTCTCCAGCTGCTGGGAATACCCTTGGGAACCCCTTTTTCCCCCACATCAGGAGCTGTGCCTGACCCTGCCCAACACCGGCACCGACCTGGAGTCAAAACTGCTCCCATTGTCCCGAGGTTTTTGGGGCTTTTTCTGTCCCTCTCAGCACTCAGAAGTGCTTTTGGCTTTTGGGACAGTGTTTGGGAACACTCAGGAATCTTTGTTTTCGGGTGTTTCTCACAGAGCCTTGTGTGGAAGCCCAGAGGCCTTTATTCCTTTATTTACCCAGAAACTTTCAGCCACATCCATGGTGCTTTCTGTGGGTTTTTTTTGCTGTTGCTCAGGGTTCCAGCCACGTTTTTAAGTGTCTGCAGCCACTGAAGTAGCCAAGATTTTTCTTAAAGGGAAGGGATTTTATTTTGAGGGAAATCTCCACCTGAAATAACTTCACAAAGTCGTGACAGACCCAATGTCACAAGAGCAGCTCATCCCAGTGGGATTCCAGAGTGCCTCTTATTGACACCTTTTATTTCTGTATTTACACCTTTTATTTCTGTATTTACACCCTTTATTTCTGTATTTACACCCTTTATTTCTGTAATTACACCTTTTATTGCTGTATTTACCCCCTTTATTTCTGTAATTACACCTTTTATTTCTGTAATTACACCTTTTATTTCTGTGTTTACACCCTTTATTTCTGTGTTTACACGCTTTATTTCTGTATTTCACCCTTTATTTCTGTATTTACACCCTCTGTTCCTGCATGTTCTCAGTGGCAGAGGCAGCCCAGGGTTCCCCCATCCCAGGGCAGGGTTCAACCTCGATGAATTCCATGATCTTTCCCTTGGGTTGAAGTGGTTTTTGCCCCTGTCTGCAGGTGACATAGTGAGGTACAGGTGCCTGCCCGGCTTCACCTTGATAGGAAATGAAATCCTGACCTGCAAACTCGGCACTCACCTGCAGTTTGAGGGGCCTCCTCCCACCTGTGAAGGTAAAGCTGGGGGTGCCCAGTGTGGTGGTTCCACAGTCCCTGCACTTCCATGCCCAGGGATTGTTCCCAAGTTGGGGGGATGGCTGAGGGAGGGAGTTGGGAGGGGGTTTCTTCCACATTCTGCATCTTTGGGGTGAATTCTCCTCATCTCCAGGGTCCCAGGAGTGCCAAACCTCCCATCAGGACCTTGTGGGGAGGGAGGTTCAGAGGTTCTGAACCTTGGGAGGTTTAGAGGATGACAGAACATCCTGAGCTGGAAGGACCCCCAAGGACCATCCAGTCCAAGCCCTGGCCCTGCCCAGACACCCCAAAAATCCCCCCCCGTCCCTCAGAGCATTGTCCAAACCCTCCTGGAGCTCTGGCAGCCTTGGGGCTGTGACCAAACCCTGGGGAGCCCGGGCAGTGCCCAACCAGTTCCAATTCCTGTTCCTCCACCCTTTGCTGGTTCCAGGGATTCTCTGGGATCTCCACATTCTCTGGGATCTCCACATGGTCTGGGGGGGGATTGCCTCGTGTCAGGTACCCCTGGATTGTACCCCAAGTGTTCAGGGAGGCCCTTGGAGCTTGTCCAGGCCACTGCTGCACTCTCCAGGCCACTGGTGATGTCCTTCCCCTGGGAAGGGGGGGAGTGCTGGGCTTCCAGAGCCACAGGAACAGCTCCTCCACAGAGGAGGAGGATTGTCTGCAGGCAGTCAATCCTGCAGGAGCAGCTCTTCCATTAGTGCCACGGAATGTCTGACATGGGAGAGGAATGAAAGGCCCAGCACGCTGCTTGTACACCTTGCTGCTGCTCAGGAGGGATCCCAGAGATGCTTCCCTGCTCCCATGTTCCTTTTTTTTATCCTCTGCCTTCCTGCTGGGGCTTTTGTTCGCTCCAGCAGCGATTATTTCATCTCCTTCCTTCCCTCCTATCTGGACCTTTTTACCATATAATGGGATATTTTTCTATGGTTTTATTCTCTCTGAAAAAGCACGGACCGAAGGAGAGAAAGGGAGGTCATTCAATTATTTACTGGTGGTTGTTAGCCTGGGGGTGAAGGGACTGCTTAAATTACATCTGGCCACCAATTTCTAGAGGTCAAAAAATCACTGATGGGATTAAGGATTTTGGAAAGAATACACTGTTCTTTCTGGGTACTTCTGGCTATTTTCTATTCATACAAGCCCAGCGTTTGCACTGGGGTTTAGTGGCAATTATGGATAAATAAAGATCCCTTTCTTTGTGCTTTCTGCTCCCTCTATGTGTGTTTGCCCCCTCTTTTGGGGTATTTTCGTTGGCCTTTTTTTCTGTGGTGCTTTCAGCTGGGTTTTGTGTTTCCAGGAGCTGAATGGGGTGTAGTGATTAGAGGAAGGAGTTGGAGTTCTTATGTCCCAGATAACAACTCCGTGGGTGACCCGAGATAAACCTGCAGTTCCACACTTTGTTCTAACCCAGGAGAGAGAATTTCCAGGGATTCCTGGGGAGCCTTTTGTCCCTCAGGGACAGTTGCTTGGTTGTGCTGCTGATTATTTTGAAAGGGGTGTGAAATCACACCGAGGCAGTTGAAAAGCTTTGTTTGCACTGTTGCTTTTTGCCCCTTTCTTTAAATGAGACAGTTGTTGGGATTTGTGGGAACACAGCCCAAATCAGGCTCTGGGAGTTCTCCATGACTCCCAGAGGTCAAGGTGTGCAGAGTTGTGCTCTACCTCTGCCTGGCTCATCAAGACAGACCTTCTTGGCCACAGCATCTTGTGTTTTCATCCTCCCTCTGGCAAACAGGAAAATTCCCTTTGTGTTGTCTCTCCTCCACATTTCCTGCAGTTCACTGCCCCATGAACCAGGTGATGACAGACTCCACTGGTGTGATCCTCAGCCAGAGCTTCCTGGGGAGTTACCCCCACTTCCAGACCTGCTCCTGGGTGGTGAAGGTCGAACCCGGGTACAACATCTCCCTCACCATCGAGTACTTCCTCAGTGAGAAGCAGTACGACGAGTTTGAGATCTTTGATGGTAAGAGATCCACCCCCTGGACCTGGGGGAGTTGGAACTGGGTGATCTTTAAGGTGCCTTCCAGCCCAAGCCACCCTGTGATTCTGTAATTCCCTGACTTGGTGGCAGCCAAGGGGGAAGGAAAGGAATTGCAGAGGTTTGTTAGTGGTTATCCCTGTTCCCAGAGCACTCCAAAGTCAGCTTCCCACTGCACTGCCTGTAACCTTCTGCTGAACTCGGAGCTCCTCCTAAGACTCATCGATTCCCTGCATAAGAAAACATCAGTGATTTGATTTTTGGATGGATCTAAAGTGTTTTCCGAAGGGGCAGGAGTTAGTGAGCTCCTGGGAGAAAGGGGAGCAGAGATTGCTGCCAGGGATGAGCTGGGAAGGTGGGAATACTCATCCCCGAAGACCAGGCAGCCCAGATTCTCTAGGCCCACGAGTTCCCAGGATTGGAGAGGGATCTCAGGCCCGGAGAGGGGGGATCTGTCAGCATTCCCAGGGAAGCAGCTCCATGACCAGCACAGAACACGAGCGCTGTGCTGGTGCTCCTGGAGCTGCCCAGTGGGACCTGAGCCCGAGGCATCTTGCCTGGAGCAAATCCTGGTCTTCCTGTGATCAGCTGGGCTTTATTTGCTGTGGGGTTCCCAGGAGCAAGTGCCAGCCCTGCCAGATTCACGTTCCCAGGATCACAGCGACGGCTCCGGGCGGCGACTCCTCAACGCTCCTGTTCTCCCAAAGGACCACGAGTGACTCTGTGTCAACCCTGACTCTTCCCTGTTCCCTCCTTCTCCCCAGGACCCTCTGGCCAGAGTCCCCTGCTCCTGTCTCTGAGTGGGAACTACTCAGCCCCTCTGACCGTGAGCAGCAGCGGGAACAACGTCTTCCTCCGCTGGTCCTCGGATCACGCCTACAACAGGAAAGGCTTCAAAATCCGCTACTCTGGTGAGCTCCCAGCAGGGCTCAGGGGTCTCCTCCTCAGCCTGGGGTCTCCACAAAGTTCCTGCAGAGGGACACGGACCATCTGTGAGGGCAGAAGCCAAGGAAAGGCAGGTTGTGCCCAGGAGAAACCTCGAAGCCTTGGCTGGTTTCTCCACCACTCTGAAGAATCAGAACCAGAATTAAAGAGTCATGACCAGGAGAAAGTCCAGGAAGAAACTTTGAAGCTTTGGTTGGCTTCTCAACCACTCCTCAGAGTCAGAACCAGGATGTAGAGAGTCATTGATTCCAGGGGGGGTGAATTGGATATTGGGAAAGGCTTCCTGATGAAGTCAGGCACTGGAACAGGCTGCCCAGGGAAGTGGTGGAATCACAGCCCTTGGAAGTGTTCAAAAAACGTGTGGATGTGGTGCTTGGGGACATGGTGTGGTGGTGGGTTAGTGGTTGGACCTGATCCTCTTTGAGGTGTTCTCCAACCTTAATGATTCCATGATTGTATAGACCAAGTGGCTCTGGATCTGGATGAAGGAATCCCATCCCAAAGATTGCTGTGTTCCTGAATTATCGTGTGCTCTCGTTGTGAGATGTTGGAAGATGAACATCCCAAAACATCAGCACTTGTGTCAGGAGCTGCATGAGGCACAACTTTCATGTGGTTGATGGTGTGGTTAAACACACTGTGCTCCTGCTCAGCTGTTCTGCTCCAGCTCTTGGGAGCAGGACCAGAAGCTCTTGGTTGCTCCCTCAGCACAAACCCACTGCTGAAGAGCGAATATTTGCCGGGAACTCCTTCAAATGAGTTACCGTGTTTCAGTACTTGGCAAATCTTAATTAATGGAAGTTATAAAGCCGGGTTGAGAACTTGCCAGTACGTCCTAAATAAATAATGACTTTACTCAGTAAATGAATTAAGTAATATTTAATTATCAGAAATCAGTCTTTATTTCCAGAGCTGAGTGAAACTTGGACTGGAGCCCTTTGCCCTTCCCCCTTTGACTTTGTGTTTATCCATCACAGATCTGGCACAGCCTCAGGTTGGGGTGTAAATCCCAAAAACGGGAAGGGAATTACAATCACCTTGCTGCTGCCCCATCCAGGGGTTGATTTCTTTTTCTCCTGCCCCTCTCCAGCTCCTTACTGCAGCCTCCCCCAGCCTCCAGCCCACGGGATGATCCTGAGCCACACCGGGCTGAGCCCCGGCAGCTCCGTCCGCTTCGGCTGCGACTCCGGGTACCGGCTGGCCGGGCACAGCACCAGCACCTGCACCCAGCACCCCCAGGGCTACTTCCACTGGAGGGAGGCCACCCCTCTGTGCCAAGGTGAGAGCACTGAGGGGCTGTTATAAAGATCCAGCAGCTACAGGGAGGATGGAGGTGGTTAAACTACAAAAATATTGGAATTCCTCTAATTCCCCGTCGAGTCGGGCGTGCAGGTGGGCACTGAGGGGTGATGCTCGAGTGCAGGTCCTTGGGAGAAGATGGGCAAAGAGGGAAGGGAGTAAGTGTTTGGGGGCACTGAGAATGGGTGATTAAAAAATCATCTGTGTGAAGGCTCCCGGGGTAGAAGTGTTTGAACCCTCAGCGACCGCACAGCCAGGCCTTGGTTGAGAGTGGGAGAAGTTGTTGCTTGGGAGGATCTGGAAAGGCTTGGGGAGGATCTGAAAAGGCTTGGAAGAATCTGGAAAGGCTGCCAGGAGTAGGGGTCCTGCTCTGTTTTAGTGGCTGGAATTTCCTTCAGTAATTCTGGAAGTGCCCTCTTAGGTCCGCGTGTGTCAGCGGGGGGGGCGAGAAATTTCTGAGGGTTCACGTGGTTCCTGTTGGCTTCATCTAAGATTTAGGCATGTGGTTGTTCTTTCCACATCTCCTCCTAATTAACCATAATCTCTGTGACATGTCAGACCCAGCATGGAGCAAATTCCAGGCAGGGGAGGGAGGGGGAACAGGGCACCGTGCCCCGGCGGGGTTTTGCTTCTGTTCCGTCCCGTTCCCTCTGTTCATTTTCTGATTGCACCTTTTTCTGCGTCCGCCAATCATCCCAGCTCCTTTGTGCTTGCTAAAATGCCCATCTTTATTCTGATGAAGCCTTTCAGTGTCTTTGAACATTCATCCATGTTCCAAGGGGACCGAGCGCTGGGGATTAATATTGCATCGACTTCCCTGGAAACCAGCCAGGGAACAAGAGACAGCCCAGGCACCACCAGCTCACTGCAGTGTCTGCACTGCTGGGCCAGGCTGGGCTGGAGGGGAAAAGTGGGATTGTTTAGTGTGGGGGGTACCAAGAAGCCCTGAAAAAAATCCCTTCTGTGCTCCCGAATCGCTCGGGAATTGCACCTCTGTAGGGTGGCTGTGGCTGCTCATTTCCCTTTGGGGTTGATTTAGATGTGAGAGGAAGGCAGTAAATCAAGATCCTGCCGCCCCATCCCACTGGGAAGCTGGGCACGGGCTCAGGTAGGGATTTAACCTCCCTGAAAACAGGATGGGGCAAAGCCAAGGGCTGGAAGGAGCAGATGAGCAGCACAGCCAGGGCTGTCATGGCAACTGTGCCTCCCTCAGCCCAGAGCAAGGGATCCCTCTGATTTACTGCATCTTTTTTTGAAGGAGAATCATGTAATCCAGAACAGGTACAAGTGCTGCTCAGCTTCACTGCCCTGCAGTGCTGGAATGTCACCTGAGCCTCGTGTGCAGCTCCAAAAGCTGGATTTACTTCCAGAGGGGTTGTGGTGTGTGGGAACTGGGTTTTAAACGGGAAGGAGGGAAGCAGATCCAGGGGGGATGTGTGGGGAGGTTGGGAGAGGCTGTGCCAGGGTGGGGTGACCCTGACAGCCCGGGTTCAAAGCAGAAACAAGTCCCTGAGCAGCAGTTCCCAGGTCAGCAGGGAGGGACTCGGAGCCAGACCATCCATGGCTTGTCCCTGCCAGGCCTGGAAACGTTGGAAAGCTCCTGTGGTGTTGCTGAGCACCCCAGATCTGCACTGTGGGCAGGGATTTCCCATGGGAGCTGCACTGGGAGCACCAAACCCATCCTGCACCTTCAGCTGAAGGTGTGACACGTCAGGAGCCTGATGGGCACAGCCCATGGTGCCACTCTATGGCAGAGGAAGAATTTGGGGGCTGATTCCCAGCATTTCAGGTGGGCTCCTGATTCAGTTTCCCCTTGGGAGGGGTGTGTGTCCCCACTGACCCCACAAAGAGCAGCTTGGTCGGGATCTTGGTGCTGGATGTCCCTCTGGAAGAGCAAGGAGAACTTGCTGGGCACATGTTAGATCCTGAGGCTGAAAGAAGCCCCTGGGGCAAGTCACCCTTTGTGTTTCCTTGGATTTCTATCAGGAATCTTAACCCTGGCCAGTGCCTTGGGATGGGTGCAGGCTGCAGGAGGGGAGTGAGCAGCAGTGAGCCAGAGCTGGAAGAGAACTGGTGGAGGAGCAGCTCCCCCCCAAGGCTTGGAGCAGTGGCCAGGGCTGGCTCTGCTTTTCCTTCAGCTACATAAAATCCAACATCCTTTTTTTTTTCCCCCAGATTGCTCTCTCAAAGCCAACTGGCAGCCTCTTGTTTTGGGCTGTGCTCAAATTCTTATCCTTTCAGGTGGCCGGGACCTCCCGGCAGAGGTTTGGGAATGGCATAAATTGCCCCCCAGTCAGGGGGAGGGGAACTGGGGTGCCCATAAACACTCGGTCTAGTTAACAAGTGCCATTTCCCCAAGCTCCTTTCTGCCAGCTCCTAATCCTCTTCCCCTTCCCCATCCCCTCTGAATAATCTTTACTACGTGCTCCGTCCTCGCTGACATTTCTGGAGGCAGCAGAGAATATTCCACAGGGAACAATCCTGCCTTGGCACCGAGAGGAGAACACTCCATGATCTAATACTGCCTTCTCTGTCTCTGCTGCCTATTTTTAAGCAGCTTTGTTTTTGGAATCCCAGCTGCAGCCTTGCTTTCCCAGCCTCTGTCCCTTCTCCCAGCAGAGTTCCTGCACCTCTGAGCCCCCAGAGCTGCCCCTTCTCCTTTTGCCCTGGATCTCACTCTCCATGGGTGACTCTGAGCCAAACTCTGCTTTGATTTCCCCTGGAAGAACCTCTGCCATCCCTGGTTCTGGGGGATCCTGCATCAGGGAGCAGGGGGCAGGTTTATGGCCACCCCAAAACCCAAATGTCTCTGCTTCGTGTGGGGCTCTGTAAATAAAAACTTACTAATGTTTGCAAAGTGACAGAGAATAGGTTTAAGTTGGATATTGGGAAGAAATCCTTCCCTGGGAGGGTGGGGAGACCCTGGCACAGGTTGCCCAGAGAAGCTGTGGCTGCCCCTGGATCCCTGGGAGTGTCCCAGGCCAAGTTGGACGGGGCTTGGAGCAACTGGGATAGTGGCAGATGTCCCTGCCCATGTGGGACTGGATGAGCTTTAGGGTCCCTTCCAACCCAACCCATCCTGGGATTCTGTGAAATGAAGGCAAGAGGGAGCTCAGCCTCTCTGAGCTGGAGCACAGCTGGCCCTGTGGGGGCAAATAGAGGGGATGAGTTCTGGGGAAGCCTCAGGCTGCAGAAGAGAATGGAAGGGAGAAAGGAGAAGGTTTTGGTGGGGGTGGTGAAGTGGGAAGGGCTCAGCTCACCCCCCCAGCCCTCGTGGCCAGATGCAATGGAAAGGAACAACAGAACTGCTGGGTGAAAGGGAAAAGGTTGGACTTCCCAGGTCCCCTCTTTTCCCTGGGAATGAAATTGGTATTCAGTGTGGCTGCTTGTCTAGACACCCAGCCTTGGAGAGAGCTCCTGAGCCCGCCGGAGTGACATCCCTGTGATTATCAGCCCAGCCAGGGATGTGCCTGATCCTGCACAATTGCTCACACCTCTGAGCAACACCAGCCCCTGCCAGCGCTGGGGGATCCTGCTCCAGCATCCCAGGAGGAGCAGGAGTGGGATAAAAGCTGCTTGGACCTTGGGGGAGTGCTGGGAAGCTCCGGGGCTGCTGCACACACTCATCTGGTGTCTCTTCTCCAGCTCAGTGGGGTCCCTGTCACCTGAGGGTCACTTTTTCTAAGGTTGCTGGTTTTCCAGCCCTGGTTGTTGTGCAGAGGGAATGACAGGAAGGTGAATGTGTTGGAGTGTCAGCATGTGGGTCAGGAGACACGGGCTCAGCCTCCACCTCCTGCACGAGCTGAGCGGGAGCAGCTCTGGCTCCTCCAGGAGGGGATGGATGTCCCTCAGAGCAGTTTGGAAATGCAGACAGGGCTGGGTCTGGTGTTGGCCTGCAGGGCTGTGCTCTGTGGCAACTCCTGCTCCTCTCAGAGCCCCACAGAGGCATTGGCAGCCCACTGGCTGGTGGTGTCCCAGTGGAGCTTCTCCTTGGCCATCCCGTCCTGTCACCTCCAGCTCTACCAAGATGGGCTTCCCCAGGGCCAAGGCTTGGAGAGGGATGGGGGGTTTGGAGGCAGGTCTGGGTTTGGTTTCCCAACTCCTTTGAATGCCGAGAGAGAAGAGCAGCTGTGAGTGAGGGGCTCCCAGCACTGGCATTCCCAGGGGAGGGAAGGAGGGCGACAGGGCTGCTCGTGTCCTGCAGCAGAAGTGAACGTGGCTCTTCTCTGTCCCTCTCTAGGGCCTGCCTGTCCCCTCCCTGCCCTTTTTGGGGCTCCCCTGGCTGCAGAGCCTGGGGTTTCAGCAGGAGTGGTGCAGAGCCTCCTCTCCCAAGCGCTGCCATCTCCAGCAGCCTCTTGGCTCGGTGCCCGTTTATCCATTTTTCCCCTGAACAACCCCCCCCTTTTACCTCCTCAGCCATAACTCTAAATTTAGCCTTCCTTCTGCCACAACATAATTACACAATTTGCTGCCTTATGTAATCCAGAAGTGCTCTTGGAGAGGGGTTTGGGGCTGTTGCTGCTGTGGGATGTAAATACAAAGCGTTCTTGCTATCGGATCCGTTATCTCTGTGTGAAAACTTTGGAGTGCTGAGCTGATGCATTTGGTGTTACAGATATTATGGAAAGTACAGCCAGAGTTCTCTTCCAGGAGAAATTGGAATTCAGGGTTGGCTCTACTGATAGGGTTGAAAATATGATCCTCTGTGGAAAGTGGACATTCCCTGCAGCTTCTGGAGCTGTTGTGAGAGTTCAGGAAGTGTTTGGATGATACTCTCAGGCACAGGGTGTGACTTTTGGGGACAGTCATGGGTTGGACTCCATGATTCTTGTGGGTCCCTTCCAACTCAGCACATTCAGTGATCCTGTGAATAGGAGGGTTTGGGAGCTGTGCTTTGGGCTCGCCACAAATCCAGGATAAAATGGGAAGCTGACTGATTTTTTTTTTCCCAGCTCTGTCCTGCGGAGTTCCCAGAGCCCCAAGGAACGGGGTTGTCTTTGGCAAGGAGTACACAGTGGGGACAAAGGCTGTGTACCACTGCAACCAGGGCTTCCAGCTGCAGCCAGGAGCAGAGCCCAGCACCGAGTGCCTGCAGTCGGGGCAGTGGAGCAACGGGAACCAGCCCCCCCAGTGTGTGGGTGAGTGTGGGGCCAGCACATCCCACCGGGAATTCTGCCTGTCCACTCACTGGTGTCTCCCACCTGTAGCATGGACAGCTTTGCCCCGTGGGTGTGGGGTTCAGGACAGCATGTTTCTAATCCTAAAAAACTGGATAAATGTCCCTCTGGTGGGGTCTTGGTGTCCCACCTGTACAGGTGGTGTCTCCTCACTGAAAACCCACCACACTCACAGAGTCACAGAGTCTGCTGGGCTGGGAGGGACCCACAAGGACCATCCTGTCCAACTCCCGGCCCTGCATGGGCCCATCCCCAAGAGTCACCCCCTGTGCCCCAGAGGATCATCCAAACCCTCCTGGAGCTCTGGCAGCCTTCCGACTGTGCCCACTGCCCTGGGGAGCCTGGGCAGTGCCAGAGATCCAACCTTTCCCTGAGATCCAACCTGACCCTGCCCTGACACAACTCCAGCCATTCCCTGGGTGCTGTCCCTGGTCTGCCCAGAGCAGAGTTCAGTCCCTGCCCCTCCTCTGCCCCTGCCCAGGCAGTTGGAACTGCAGTGAGGTCTCTTTTCTTCCCCAACTGAACACACCGAGTGCCCTCAGTGTCCTCCCACGGCTTCAAATCAAGTCCCTTCCCACCCTCGCTGCCTCCTTTGGATGCTCTAACAATCAAACACCCATTAACACCTTTTCCTGTCCCTTTTTTCCCCCCCTGGCCCTGCACCCCCCGTGTCCAGCTGTGGCCTGTCCCGACGTCGGCAGCATCGCGGTGGAGCACGGCCGCTGGAGACTCACCTACGAGGTCCAGTACCACTACAACGCCCAGCTCATGCTCATCTGCGACCCTGGCTACTACTACACGGGCCAGAGGGTCATCAGGTGCCAGGCCAATGGCAAGTGGAGCATAGGGGAGCCCATGCCCACCTGTAAAAGTAAGAGCGGGGGGGCACTCGGGGCAGGGCAGGGTGGTCTCACAGGGGGTGGGGGGCCTGTTTTCCCTTTGGTGGGTGCAGCCACACCACAGCCCTGGCTGCTCTTGGCAGCACCTGAGGTGGATGCACCAGAACTCTGTTAGAAGAGGGTTTGGATGCAGGGACAGGTCACGTCCTGATGTGATCCTTAGTTTGATCCGACTGACTCTGGGTGAGCTCAAGCACTCCAGCTCCTCTCTTTGCTGTCACCGCTGCCAGATGCTCTGAAGTTTGCTTTTAAGGAGGAAAAATAAAACCTGCTGGTGTTAAAACCTCCCCTCTTCCCTCTCCATGCAAACACCAGGTTTACAAGGGTAGTGGTGTCGCCCGTAAATCAAAACCACTCTGGGCAAACAAGCAGCTCTCAGTTGTTCTGCCACGACTGCTGTGCTTTGGATCTTCCCTTTTGTCAGAGGTGGTGGGTTTTTTTCCTCTCTAAGTGCAGACAGAGACAGAAGAACCTCTCCTTCCCTCCTGCCTGCCTTTGTTTGTGGAGATGTGACTGCAGGGTGGGTGACAGATGTACTTTTCCCCCCTGCCAGCTCTTCCGCCAGATCCGGGAGCAGGAGCCTGACCTCGTTTTGTTCCCTCAGCCTTATTGCCACCTAAATTCAAATGACAGGATCTTGGCAGAGCACCGAGGTCACAAGCACCCAGCGTGGGTCCCTTGGCTCCTCGCTGAGGGCAGGAGCTCCGGAGGGTTTTGCAGATCTTTGAGGCAGAGAAAATAAAGATAAAAGAGAAGGAGCTGAATTGTGTGTGGCTGGGAGCTGTGGCTGCAGGGCTCCAGCTGCTGCAAACCCACCTGGGTGTCCTCTGTGGGTCTCACCTTCAGGTGACAGCTCTGTCCTGGAGGTCACAGTGTGGGGAAAAGCTGGGTGGAATTGGAATTGGAATTTTCATTGGGAATTTTGTACCATTTCAAGGCAACGCTGGACGGGGCTTGGGAGAATTGGGATGGTTCAGCCTGGACAAGAGAAGGCTTTGGGGTGACCTGATTGTGACCTTTCAGTGCCTGAAGGGAGCTGAGAGGAAGGATGGAGGGAGACTATTTACAAGGGCTTGGAGGGACAGGACAAGGGGGAATGGCTTTAAGCTGGAAAAGGGGAGATCTGGGTGGGATATTGGGAAGGGATCCTTCCCTGGGAGGGTGGGGAGGCCCTGGCACAGGTTGCCCAGAGAATCTGTTGCTACCCCATCCTTGGAAGTGTCCAAGGTGAGGTTGGAGCAACCTGGGCTAGAGGAAGTTGTCCCTGCCCGTGGCAGGGGGTGGAACAAGATGAACTCTCAGGTCCCTTCCATCCCAAACCATTCTGGGATCGTGTGATGTTGTGGAATTCCTACAAATCAAGTTTCCCACTGCACCTAACAATGGGTTAATGGTAGAAATATTCCTGTGTGAAAAACTTTCCGTGTGAAAAGCTCCTTTAGTTTCTTCCTGGCCCATCTTTAGCACTTCCCTCGTGTCCTGAGCATAAATATTAACGACCCTTGTATTTGTCACCTTGTCTAGCACGGCTCTGAATTGTTATTACTCATGTAACTATTTAATAATCTTTCCCACTCATTCCTTACTCCAGCAAGGAGTGACTGAGGGAGGTTCCTCCCAAACCAGCTGCTCCCAGCCCGGTTTTGCTCACGGTGCTTTTGGGATCTGTCCTAGTTATCTCCTGCGGGGACCTGCCGACGCCTCCCAACGGGAACAAGATCGGGACCCTGACCAGCTATGGGGCCACAGCCATCTTCTCCTGCAACACTGGCTACACCCTGGTGGGCTCCCGGGTCAGGGAGTGCATGGCCAACGGGCTTTGGAGCGGGGCAGAGGTCAGGTGCCTGGGTAGGTGTGGGGTTTGTTGGGAAAGAGCCCCGGTGGCAGCATCCATGGTGTGTTAGAAAGAGTCCTGGTGGTGTTTTGGGAGGGAATTGGGGGTTTTGCTGCTTGCTCCAAGCCAGGACTCAGGGCAGGGTTAGGTTGGATGTTAGAAAATGGTTCTTCCCCCCAGAGGGTGGTTGGGCACTGCCCAGGCTCCCCAGGGCAGTGGGCACAGCCCCAAGGCTGCCAGAGCTCCTGGAGGGTTTGGATGATCCTCTCAGGGCCAGGGGTTGGACTGGATGATCCTGGTGGGTCCTTTCCCAATTCTGCTGGAGCTGTGGGGTTTTAAGTAGATCTAGAAAGGGAGCAGACTTTGATTCCTGACTGCTCAATAGACACGAGGTGCTCGGAGACTGGAGAGCTTTAAACTGGTGGTGTTTATTTCTGGTTGCTCTGCTTTGGTTTATTTATGACAGCAGAGTCTGGAATGAACAGCCTCAAGCTGGAGGAGGACTGGTTCAATGGGATATTGGGAAGAAATCCTTTGCTATAAGGGGTGGTACCGGGCACAGGTTGCTGTGAGGAAAGGCTGGGAGAATTGGGATTGTTCAGCCTGGACAAGAGAAGGCTTTGGGGTGACCTGATTGTGACCTTCCAGTGCCTGAAGGGAGCTGAGAGGAGAGATGGAGGGAGACTATTTCCAAGGGCCTGGAGGACAGGACAAGGGGGAATGGCTTAAAGCTGGGAAAGGGGAGATTTGGGTGGGATATTGGGAAGGGATCCTTCCCTGGGAGGGTGGTGAGATTCTGAGACTCTGGAGCAGCTCTACTATGAAGAAAGGCTGGGAGAATTGGGATTGTTCAACCTGGAGAGGAGGAGGCTTTGAGGAGACCTGATTGTGGCCTTTCAGTGCCTGAAAGGGCTGACAAGAAACATGGAGAGAGACTATTTACAAGAGCATTTAGTGACAGGACAAGGGGGAATGGCTTTAAGCTGGAAAAGGGGAGATCTGGGTGGGATATTGGGAAGGAATCCTTCCCTGGGAGGGTGGGGAGGCCCTGGCACAGGTTGCCCAGAGAATCTGTTGCTGCCCCATCCCTGGAAAAGCCAGGTTGGAGCAACCTGGGCTAGTGGGAGGTGTCCCTGGGTTGAAATGAGATGATCTTTAAGGTCCCTCCCAACCCCAACCACTCTGGGATTCTGTAATTCCCCAGAGAGTTTCGGGGGTGGGCGATGCGTGTCCGTGGTGACTCCCGGTGATTCCCAGTGATTCCCAGTGACTCTCCCTCCCCCCCAGCCGGGCACTGCGGCGTCCCCAGCCCCATTGTGAACGGGCAGATCAACGGGGAGAACTACAACTACCGGGGCAGTGTGGTGTACCAGTGCAGCCCCGGGTTCCGCCTCATCGGAATGTCCGTGCGCATCTGCCAGCAGGACCATCGCTGGTCCGGCAAGACCCCTGTCTGTGTGCGTAAGTATGTGGGCACCCTGGCACCTCCCTGCGCCCCTGGGGGTGGCCAGAGGGCAGGAGGAGAGGTGGGGGGCACCCCCAGAGACCCCCCAGGCACCCCCAAACTCCTGTGCCCCCCCAGACCCTCCCCTGCCCACAGAGGCAGTCGCTGGAGGAACAGTCGTCCTGGCACATGCAGTGCTGGGAGGGGGCTCAGGGGGGGTTAAGGGGCACCCCCAGAGACCCCCCCCGGCCCCCCCAAACTCCTGTACCTCCCCCAGAGACCCCCCTGCACCCCCCCAGAGACCCCACAGCTCACACAGGGGGCTTGGGGGGGGTTGCTGTGCACACACACCCTCGGAGAGAGGGTCGGGGGGTGTCGGGATCTGCTGCTTTTGTGCTTCCCTCTGTTTTGAAAATCTCACTGTGGTCCCAGATGTCTCCCAGCTGAAGGTGTGGGTTCAGGGGAGAGACCCTCTTTTTGGGTTTCTGTTTGACACAACTCTGCCAACCATCCTGGAGACCCCCCCTCCGTGCTGGACCACAGCCCGTCTCACTCCCCTGCTCCACACCCACAGGTCACCTTGGACAACCCGCTCGTTTATCTTTCCAGTAAATAAGCTAATTAACCAAGTCTCTGGAGCTCTGAGGTGTTAATAAGTTTAAGCATCCCCTTATCATGGGCAGTGCAATCCCTGTGTTTCATATCCCGGTTCTCCAGGTGTTTATTCCGATCCCTCCTCTCTGGTTTGGAGCTTTGTGTGCTGAGTGATACCAAGATATGAAGTAAGGAATGACCTGTCTGTGAATATGCAGATTCCAGCCTAAAAACAAACAAACAAAATAAAAGGGATTAAGTTGTCAAGGTCAGCAGTGGCTCCAAAATTTGGGGGATATCTGAGGTTCTGGAGCACCTCTGCTGTGAAGAAAGGCTGGAGAGAATTGGGATCGTTCAGCCTGGACAAGAGAAGGTTTTGGGGTGACCTGATTGTGACCTTTCAGTGCCTGAAGGGAGCTGAGAGGAGAGATGGAGGGAGAGTATTTCCAAGGGCCTGGAGGGACAGGACAAGGGGGAATGGCTTTAAGGTGGAAAAGGGGAGATTTGGGTGGGATATTGGGAAGGAATCCTTCCCTGGGAGGGTGGGGAGGCCCTGGCACAGGCTGCCCAGAAAATCTGTTGCTGCCCCATCCCTGGAAGTGCGCAAGGCTGACTTGGAGCAACCAGGGCTAGTGGAAGGTGTTGGAATGAGATGAGCTTCAATGTCCCTCCCAACCCAGGCCATTCCATGATTCTGAGCTGTCACACAACGTTAGGCCTCGTGGATAACAGGGATTTCAGGCTGTTCAGCAGAGCTCTGGTGGGCTCTGGAAGGAGGTGCTTTATTGCTGTGACACAGCTCAGGGCACGCTGTGTGTGAGCACATTCCCACCTCCCACTGCCCTGGTGTGTTCTCTTTAAACCTGCTGCAGTTGCCTCTGTTTGATCCAGGCAACTCTGTAAAGCCTTTTTTTTTTTATATTTTTTCCTGGGACAGAATCCCTCACCTGTTTCAAAACACGTGTAATCGTGTTCAGAAGCACCTCAGAGCACCTGACACCTGCAGCCCTGCAGGCCTCCACATTTTCCAGCCCTGTCCTGCCATCAGCTTGCATAAGGAATAAATTGCCATCCCTCTGGTCCAGTCCAGCCTTGGCAGCCAAATGTGTTATGGATCTTTAGTGGGGATTTCATCTTCCCCTCAAGCTTCTCCTGGCACTGGCAGCTGCCCAGCAAAGCTGTAGTGATGGGCCATTACCCCTTTTCAGCATGACAATAATCAATATGGCTTTGTCCTCGCCTGTCACAGGGTGTCACATCCCTCAAGCAGCCAAAAAAGCTCTTTATGGTTTATCCTGACTTTTCTTTTGTGCAGTGGAACTCGCTGCTGGGCTGGAATGGAGGGGCTGTGTCCTCCCTGTGTCACCTGCCCCTGTGCCAGCAGAGAGGTCCAGGCATTTTCCAAAAGCACTTGGAATTTTGGAATCGGCCTCTCCCCTTCCCTGGGTGTTGCCAGAGCAGCTCAGACAGGACCCTGTACCCTTCCACCTCAAACCAACATCAGCCCCAGGAAGAAGAACTACACAAAACCCCACATTTCAGGGCTTTGGAAAT